TTTTGGATTTGTTTGCTTCATTTCACCCAATGAGGCCACTTGCGCCGTGACTGAACTAAACGGCCGTGTGGTGGGCAGCAAGCCTTTGTATGTAGCACTGGCCCAGCGTAAGGAGGAGCGCAAAGCGCACCTTGCATCACAGTATATGCGTCACATGACCGGCATGCGTATGCAGCAGTTGGGACAGTTATTCCAACCCAATACCGCTAGCGGTTTCTTCGTGCCCACAATGGCGCCCAGCCAACGTTTCTTTGGCCCACAGATGACCACACAGATGCGCAGCACGCCACGCTGGGCACAACAGATGCGCCCCGCAACAGCGGTGCAGAGTGTACAGGCCGGCGCCGCTTCGGCTGCTGCCTCAGCCGCTGCCGGTGGCTTCCAGGGTGCAGCCGGTGCTGTGCCAACTCAGTTCCGTCAGTCTGGAGCCGGAGCGCGCGGTGCACAGCCCCAGCAGGTGCAGGGCACCCACGCTGCAGCTGCTGCCGCTGCTGCAGCCAACAATATGCGCAGCTCTGGCGCACGCGCTATCACAGGCCAGCAATCGGTGGCCGCTCCCAATATGCAAATCGCTGGCGCTCAAATTGCCGGCGGTGCTCAGCAGCGTGCTGCAAGCTACAAGTACACCGCCAACATGCGTAACCCGCCAGTACAACAGATGCAGCAGGCACAGCCGATGCCACAGCAGCTGCAGGGCAAAAGTAAGTATACGAATTAAACTTATCGTTAACATTTTTTTAATTCACGCTTAAAATATTACTTTGCAGACCAAGAGAAGCTTATTGCCTCATTGCTGGCTAATGCCAAGCCACAGGAGGCGAAACAGATCTTGGGCGAGCGTCTGTATCCAATGATTGAGCGCATGCACGCCGCACTGGCTGGAAAAATCACTGGCATGTTGCTGGAGATTGAGAACTCAGAGCTTTTGCACATGCTGGAAGATCAGGAGGCACTCAAGGCCAAGGTTGAGGAGGCAGTCGCTGTGCTCCAGGTGCACCGCGTCACTGAGCCCGCAAACTAAGCTCGAACAACAAAGCGGATTAAAATTTTTTATAAATCACTCGACACCCAAAAATGTACGTATTACATTATACAATGAACAATCTGCTAATAGTTTGTTTTATATTATATTTATATATATATTTTATATTTCCAGTTTTTTTCCCACATTCACTTTCAATTTTAAAAATTAAAAAAAAAAAAAACACTTAAAGGAACACATGAATTCGCATTGATGCTCAAGCAAAGAAAAAACGCAGCGAATGACACAAGAAATATAACAAGAATAGGATGAACAATAAACTTGATGGCTAAAAGAAGATGAGAGGAAAACTCCAAAATAGCCGACTATTTACTCTTTTCCGTTAGGGCAACGACATAAAAACAATTTCAATCATTTAATTTCGAACGCATTTACGCATGACCACAACGCAGAGGAAATTAGCTACCTGCTTACAACAAAGGAAACAAAATGCATCAGGCGCAGATGTTTTTTATATATATATTTTTCATTCTTTTGGATTTTCAAACTAAAATGAAAAGAAAAAAAAAAACAAAACAAAATACGAAAAATATGTACGTTTAGAAACATTTTATATACATATTTTTCTCTGTGTATGTATATATATATATATATAATATATATATATATTTTATTTATTTTTTTTTGCTTGAACTGAGATGTTTATTTTGTATGCGTAAACAAAATGCAGAATAAATAATTATAAATGCAAATGGCAAATAATTGAAATTGTTAAGCCTGTCGGCAAGTTTCTTGTTACATCAACACAACAACAAAAACAAATTTAAATACTTTTCGTACGCTATTATACTACACATCTTTCAAATGAACATCCAACAAACATGAAACATGATGTAATATTTTTTCTGTCATTTCAAAAGAAAAACCTACTTTTAAAAAAGATGAAAAAAAGAATACAAAAAAATTGCAAAAATGTTAAAATAAATAAAAACGAAAAAATGTAAAAGTAAACAGGAGAGATATAGAGCAGAAGAAATATACCAACAACCAACCGCAAGAATATGAGAGTCAAGTTTTTGCTACTTTGAAAACCAACAAAAATCAATATGTTGAGAAAAAAAAAATACAATTTTAAAAAAAGAAAAATATAAAAACTAAAAATCTTACAAAAAAATTGAAAAATCGATGTAAAAAATACAAAAAAAAAATATATATATACATATATATGTATATATATACATGTATAAACATATATGAGAAATACACGAAAACATGAAGGCGCTAAAGCGCGAAACAGAACGTGTGGAAAATAAGGTTGACAGGAGAGAAATGCGATCAAGCAGGATTTTTATGTTTATTAAAAAAAAAAAAGAATTGAAAAATAAAAACATTACAATTTGCATATATATACATATATATTAAAAGAAAACGCAAAACATATGTAAAGCAAGCGGAACGCCAAGTTATTTTTTATTATTTGCGTTCAGCCTTTTGTTAGATGGAGGATGTTTTTACACCATACATACGAGTATATTAAAGCAAAAGAATAAAAATAAAAAGAATAGGCCATGCCCAAGTAGCATGCTGTGAAATTCATATTTTTTTAATAAATAAATTGAAAAAAGAAAAAAAATAAAAAACATTTGAAAAAATTGCAAAACACGAAAACATTTATACGCAAACAGCTGCAAAAAATATTAAAAATATAAAAATAAAAACAAAAGCAAAAGCAACACATAACCAAAACCCGATTTGGAATATTCAGATGTTTTTTTTTTGTGCGTAACCTTTTACTTTTTATAAAATATAATACACACACACAAACACACACTTGAATACATAATATATATATATAACAGATATAAACAACCAATAATTTGTAAAATTCAATATATATTTGTTAACAAACTCGATTGCACTTTGAAGTTTGAGCAACAAACTTCGATATGTAGGCGCCGCTTTGAGCCAACCAAATATATGTTTCAATGAATTGTAGAAAAGGCGCACAGCGAGCAGTCAAAAAGAGCAGAGCATAAAATTTGTACACCCTGAAAGTTTCATTAAATAAAATTCCACTTCGGCAAAAACAAATAATCTTCATTTTTTTCTAGCAGTTAAAATTTATGGCAGACTCTTGGCCAAAGCCCGATTCCTGGTACAGCATGCGACCCGCAGAAACCTTGGCAAGATGTGTGCGTATAGACGTACATATATATTTATTTTTATATCGTGTCTACGTTTATATAACAAATCGCACATGCTCACGCGTTTAATTTTTATGCATTTTATTTAATGTGCTAACAATAGTCTTTATAAAGAGAGCTCGGCAGATATTTTCTTCGATTCTTGTAGAAGTTAACAGAATTCAAAAAGCAAATCGAACATAGAAAAAGTCTTTATCCTTAAAATTATATTAGATTTAATATTGCAAAATGGAGAAAGTAAGATGAGTAAACTCTTGGCTTTTGCTGGGTTAACAAAACGAAGCAGACTCCAAGTTGTTGTCTAATCCAATCGTGACTAGGGCATGCTCCATTTGGCGTTCCCGTCGTGTACTTTAGTCCTCATCATCGTCGTCATCGGCGGGCACAAACAAATCGTTCTCCTCCAAAAAGTTTGCCACGTTCTTGCTGATGGTGGCGCCCACAAAGAGTCCAGGAATCACGGCACAGAAGATAGCCAATAGGCCAAAAGGCATCTCCGAGGGTTTTGGCTTAACGGCACCGCTGCGGAAAGTAACACCTGCCATCCGACGACGCACAATGTTATTGTTGCAGGCAGTTTGTTGGGCAAACTTCTGAAGGGCTACATTAAGCGGATACGCTAGACGGGAAACACTCATGGCGATGTCCTTTAATGCGCTTTATGTGTCTATAAATATATTTGTATTTTTTATAAATGTCAACTTTTGCTAAATGTATGTAACGCAGCAGAAACTTGTTATGGTCGGCCGATGTCAAATGTGCATGCCATCGAGATTCGTATAAGAAAATCGATGCCGATACTTTATGCGTCACCAACACTGCCAACATTGTTGAGTCAGCTGGCTAGAAAATAAAAGTGTTGCACAGTGCAAGTAGAGCGCGTAACTCAAATAATAAACCGCGCTATCATTTTAGATAAAACTGCTTTATTAATGTTGCTCTCATTTTACAATTTATAGGTTTGTGTGTGTATATATTGCAGAGCGTTTATAAATGCCCATGGATTACATTTTTGTATGTATATGTATAAATATATATTTACTTTCAACTAGTAAAAGTTACAAATTTAGCCATTGATTGCGCCTTTTTATTAATACATCGATTTATGTGTATTCAATTTACTCCGTTTCATTATGGTTGTTATGGTTTACTGTGTACTAATATTATTGATATTGATTATATAGAATCGTGCACAATGCACATATTTGAATGTCAAAGCAGATTAAAAATTTATTGATATAATAACAAAGACAATGTTTATAAATAATGCAACTTAGGTATAGTAGCTGAAAACGTTATGAAACAAATATGCATAGAGCATATATATATGTATATATATATTTAAAAAATTGGAACTAAGTGTGTACACAAGTTTATAAATTTGTGAAGCTGTTTTATGTTTTGCGCACTCGTCGTAAATACGTAAATACTTTCTGCTGATTATGAAAATTGTATAGGAAACGGTTTGCGGACGTTTGTTGATCTTAATATATAAACAACTTAAATAATAGGCAAATTTATGTGTTATTTCTAAGTAGTGTTGTTTTGTGATACTCTTTTCTTTTTTTTTGTAAAACAGATAAAGGCATATGTTGTATGGAAATGACAAATCTTTCGAAGAGAACATCGAGGTTCTCGAAATGTTGTAATTGTAGGTCATTCTTTTTTATCTATATATGTAAACTTAAAAACAATTAATAATTGCACTAAACATACAAATTAAACAAAAATAAATACATACATAAATAAATTACAATACAACTTTGTTGAATGTTGCTAAAAAAGAAAAAGAAACAAAATGAACCCTTTCAACATTAACAACTGAACATTAATTTGGCTATATTTTGATTTTGTTTCTGTGTGTTTGGGCTTTACGAAAAACTGTTGAGATAAGCTTAAAAATTTGTTGTTTCTCTTTGACCAATGTGTTGGCCTATTAATAATGCGAAACACCTGATAAACAGACCACTTGTACGCTTAATCTTTATTTCTAGCCTGAATCATTATCGATAAAGAAAAAGGTGCGCTACAGCACCAGTCAGAAATAATTGGGTAATAAAACAAATCTATGAAGAATGTTTAAGTAATTAACTCTTCAGCCCAGTGCACCAATAAATACTTGTACATCAATGAATTATTCACAAGATATATGTATGTATATAGGACAGACAATATTTATGCATAATTAGCCCTGCTCGTATTATCGATATGACCGATTCGCAATTAGTTAGGCAGCAATGACACCTGTTGTATTAACAAATTCTGCTCATTTTTTGAGAAACAATTATTAAATTGTTAGCAATTCGTTTAACATGTGTCAACAGTCCATAACAAATTCAATTCATCAATTTTTCTAAACCGAAATTGCAATTTTCAGAGCGTTACAATTTAATTGACACAAACAAAAACATGACTTCTTTAAAATGGGGACACGTTGATAATTTAACTGATTGATAATTTATGGTGAAAATTGCAATTTTCTTGTGACATACATGATCAACATGGGCGGGGCTGGGCTGGGCTGGTCTGGTCTGGGCGTGGCAAACGTTATGGCAGAGACCGGAGATGCCGTGGATAGCGTTTGCAGCTTTAATCAAATTCGGAAATGGGCGCACGGCTGCTGCTGCTGTTGCTATTGCTGCACCTGCTTCTGCTGTTGCGATTCAAATCGATCTGCTTGACGGCGCTGGGCGTGTTGGCAGCTGACGAGGACGACGATGATTCATCGCTAGGTCATAAGTCCTGAAAGCGTCGCACATCCTCCCAATAGTGTGAGGGTATCTCGAACAGTTTGGCGGGTATATTGTCGCGAAACTCAAACTTTTGAAATGTCACCTTGGCGGTGACCGTGTGCAGCACGGGTATTTCAATCTTGACGGGAAAGCCCGTGGGCAGCTTGAGCGTGACAAACTCGCGTAGCTTATTGATATGCTTGAGCGGTGCCACCACCTCGAGCACATCCAGCAGCATGTCCACACTGAGCGGAAAATCGGCGCTCATCGCAACGGTAGCGCGTAGTGTTTTGTTGGACTGTTTGTTGACCGGTGTACGTCCCAGTGGCGGGCATTTACCCACGGGCGCATTTATATACTCCGACCAGGTGATCGTTGTGGTGGGCGGCGGCTGCAGCGAGCTGCGACGCGGCAGCTCTGGCAATGTTAGGGTACTGCCAGTTGTGGGCGTTGTTGCCGCATTCGAATCCGTTTGGCTGCCGCCTTTGGTGATTGTCTCGACAATGGCGCGATTCTTTTGCAAATCCTCGTTGGACAAATGTTCGCGCCGCTTGCGCTGCTTCAGCACTAGCCCCTGTATGGTATAGATTTCGCATTGATATTGCCCACCTATCAGTTCCTTGCGATTGGCCCTGAACAGCCAGCCGCGTTGAGCGCGCGCAAATTGTATTGTCTTCGTGGACATCTGGGTGGCCAATATGTCGGTGGACATGAGCACATCCACCTCATCTTCCATGTCGGATTCCTCATAGCGCAGACGCTGATAGCATTGCTGTTCATTATCCAACAGCACTAGGGATTCATTGGGCGCTGCCTCGCCGCGAAATAGAAACGAAATATCGCCACGATCCCAGCGCATATCATTAAAGTCCACTAACGTTGTGTCCAGGCGCAATGAAGCGCCACATTTATACAGTCGGCAAATGTCCGAGGGCAGAATGCGTGAGACGAGCGGCAACCATGACTGAAAGTCCCATTTGAATTCCATATAAAAGTCCTGCATTTGACGCAGTGCCTGCACGAGTCGTTCGCGACGGCTTTCCATGTGCTCGCGCGACTGCAGCTTCAGCATGCGCAGCAGCTGGGTAATGGTCTGTCGATGGCCGTAGCTGATGGCCTCGGCCAGTGGTGACCAGCCCTCATTGTTTTTCACTTTGACGGGAGCATTGTTGGCCAGCAGCAAACGGACACAGCAAGTGCGACCCAGCATGACGGCCAAGTGAAGGGGCGTATTGCCGTGCATGTCCTTTTCGGCCAACTCTTTTGGACCGGTGGTCAGAAGCAGGCGACGCTGTAGCGTTCGTATATCGTTCTCGAAAACGCTGCGATGCATTGGATACTCGACACAATCGTCGGGCACTGGGGCAGGTGCGGGGGCAGTTTTTCGTGTTGTTGTTGTTGTTGTATCGTCATCATCGTCACCCTCTCCCGCCGATTGATACTCATCCGATTCCGACTCCTCATCGGGTGACCCACTGTTTGTTGTCTGTTTTGTGTGTTCTACTTTCCGATTTTTGTCACACTCGTCCACTTTTTCGTTGGACATGTTTTACTCACCGTATCTTTATCAAACACTTTTTGCATACAGTTTTCTTTCATACAAAAAATTGCTATTTTGCAGCCCAAAATTGCTCTGTTTATTGATTATTATTAGCGATGGACTAAGTGTAGCACTGTGTCCAACATAACGATAAGGTATCGATAAACTCAATTTTTTTCATTTGATGAGTAAATTTACTAAGCGCAGTAAAGTAGCTTATCCGATTAAACATCACCAGCGATTTGAATGGGTATTTATGCAAATGCCGACATTAATTAAACAAAAGCAAACAAATGAAAGCTAACAAGCCCCTGTCAACTTCATGTCATTTGAAAAATTATTAAATCCGTTGTTTGACATTTAGCACATGCATACATATGTGTGTGTCGATAAATGCATGTGTTTCGCTTCCACTCTTCTTAACGGTAAATATGGTTCAAGATATTCGTAAATCACATTTTCAGTGCTTTATACATACCCTTCGTCCATCCCTAGTGTGGCTCATACACGTTACAACACTATTTGGTACTAAAAAGTTTGTGAATTATTTGTAAACTTTTCGTTTCAAATATCTGAGCAGTGAGTGTGGACTCTATGCTAAAACATATATTAAAAACGTCAGCCAATTTAATTGAAAACTGGAATTGCATTTAATTGCATCGTGTATGGGCCGCACGTAACAAAACCAAAATAAAAGGAAAAGAAATAACAAACACACAGCAGGCGAGGCAAATCAAAACGGGCAACTGCAAACGGCAAAGGCAAGGCAACATGCAGTAATAAATTGAGCAAGTTTCATAATCCTCCAAACAATTCGTAGATAGATTATGTCGAGCGATGAACTGCTGTGGCGTACTAAGTATTCAAGTTCGCGTTATCAACGCCACGAGAGCGCAGAGCAGCGGACGCCCTTGAATGCCAGCGCGTTGCACTGGCAGCGTCAACAATTTGGTTGCGATGTGGACGAGCAGCTGCGTCGCCGGCTGCAAGCCTCGCCAGCATACATCGATCGGCTCGAACAGGAGACGTTGCTAACCGGGCACGACGGCTGTGTCAACTGTCTAGAGTGGACAGATGATGGCATGCTATTGGCATCAGGTTCTGATGATTACAAAGTCATGATCTGGGATCCGTTTCGAAAGCGGCGCATCCAAACGATAAACACAAAACATCTGGGCAACATATTTTCCGTAAAGTTTCTACCCCGTCACAACAACAGCATTGTGGCCACCTGTGGCGCCGACAAGTATATCTATGTCTATGACATTAATCACGGCAATGAGACCTTGTTTACCTGCAATTGCCACACGATGCGCGTTAAGCGTCTGGCCACGGCGCCCGATTCGCCACACATTTTTTGGTCCGCCGGCGAGGATGGCAGCATACTACAATTGGATATGCGTGAGGCACATCGCTGTCGCGGCCCCGATGATCAGCAACCAGCAACGGGAGGCGTACGACTCCTAAGCCTTTGCACCCAGGTTGAGTCGACAACGGAGGCCAAGTGCCTGGCTATCAATCCACGACGCACCGAGTATCTTGCAGTGGGTGCCAATGATCCGTATGCGCGCGTCTTCGATCGCCGAATGCTGCCAGGTGAAGGTAATTGCAGAAGTGTACCGTGCTCTCATCACATCTTCCCTTTAAGGAATTTATTAAGCTCTGTGTTTATTTTGTAGCAAGCAGCTGTGTCTCCTTTTATGCGCCCGGTCAAATTGTGAAGAACATCACACGCAACATCGTGCACGAGTCGCGTACTGTCACCTATCTGACATTCAACAACTACAACACAACGGAGCTTTTGGTAAATATGGGCTGTGAGCATATCTATCGCTATGATCTACACAATGCCACGCCACCAAAGTTCTACGAACTGCCTGAGTACACAGCATCGTCGCCGCCCACCGAGGCGGAGCATGTGGAAGCGGCAGTTGACACTGATGAAAAGCCAGAAATCAGAACGACCAAAAAGCAGCAAAAGCGTCGCACATTGCCAACGAGCATTGAACAGCACAAGAAGCTGGGTAACGAGCATCTGGAAAATGGCAAATTGCTGGCTGCGATAGATACGTATTCTGCGGCACTAGCGGAATATCCGCGGGGGGAGGTGCTCTATTTGAATCGGGCTACGGCACTGATGCGTCGCGGTTGGTTTGGTGATATATATGCGGCGCTGCGAGATTGCCACGAGGCGTTACGATTGGATCCCACTTATGTGAAAGCGCATTTTCGATTGGCCCGTGCCCTGCTTGAGCTGCACCGGCCTCAGGAAGCGGACAAGTGCTTGCAAGAGCTGATACAACGCTTTCCAAGCTTTGCCAACAATCATGGTGTGCTAATGCTGCACAAGGACATACGCGAGTATCGACAGCAGCAATCGCAGGCCACTGGTCAAACGTCCGATCATGAACCGGTGCTCATTGAGAGCGGATTCCGCTATCTAAGGCTGACCGATGATGAGTATGCGCAACGGCGTGCCGCCAAGGATTACAAACAGCGATATGTGGGTCATTGCAACATCACGACGGACATCAAGGAGGCCAACTATTTGGGCCTCAACGGCGAGTTCATTGCCGCCGGCTCCGATGACGGCAACTTTTACATTTGGGAAGGTGAAACGGCAAAAATACGTGCTGTCTATCGCGCTGACAGTGCCATCGTCAACTGCGTGCAGCCGCATCCAAGTATTTGCATGTTGGCCACAAGCGGCATCGATCATGATATCAAAATCTGGTCACCGTGCGCGCCGAGCGCCGCGGAGCGACCCAATCTCGTTGCGGACGTTACGCGCTATGTTGAGAATAATCAGGAAAAAATGCGCACCGATCCGTTCGAAGCGAATACGCGTAATGCGTATTGTTTTAATAATTAAATATAAGCACATCTAGTATAATGTAAATTAGTTTTTAAATTCAAATTGCAATACAATACATGCAATAATAGGCCACTTCTCCGATCCTGTCTACTCGCGAAACTAGGGAGTATAAATATATAAAACTAATAGGGTAATTTGCGAAAACCACTATCAATTTTGTTAAATTGTCAAAGAAATATAATTATAGAAAAAATCAAGCATATGGAAATGGTATGTCGAAATCAAAGAAATAAAAATTCAAAGAATTGCAATTTCTGGTTAATACTAAACTGAGAGAATGAAAAATGCAATAACGCGAAACGAATAGATCAATTACATTATACAATCTATTAAAAAGTCGCCTTTTAATTAAAAAAAAAAAAAAAACAACTGGTCCGATAAACTTTCTAATTGTGAAATAGAAATTGTAAAGCGAAAACCTACTATATTGAATTAATTTGAAGTGTTTTATATATTTTTGGAATTATTCTGTTTATTTATCGTAGTTATTTAAATCTATGCTCACATGTATACATATACATACATATAAATATTTTACTTTATGTAATAATATTCAAGTATCGCTTTTCTCTTGTTTTTAATTATTTTGTTTTTTGTTTTTTTTTTATCAAGTTTATTTAAAAAACTAAGTAGAATTGATAGCTTCACATAAAAGTTTCTATCTTCATATCGCAATCGGTAAACGTTGTTGTTGTTGTTGTTGTTACAAATATTTTATGGTATGAATGCTGAATAATGTTTTAGAACAATTTAAAGTACTTAAAATTTTGCATTAAGTAAGGTGTTTAGTTATACATAATTAATATTTTTCTTTCTGTCCTTGAGAGTGTCGTGTGTGTGTTTGTGTGAAGAGCGTGACATGTGGATTTTAGTAAGTTGCTTAAAATCTAACTGAATGTGTTGTAAATATTCGCGGCCATGCGTATGATTTTTAACGTTCTACTTGCACATTTTTTTCACATTATATTATGTATAATTATGTTTCTATATATTTTTTTTATGAATTCTCTTTTAATTACTTTACAAAAGTGCGTAGTTTTCTCATTCTTTTGTTTTGTAGGGTTGTCCATATTTTGCCTTTTATACAGTGTTTTTTTTTTTTTTTCATTGTTTACTTTTAAGAATAGTATATTACAAACTATTTTATGATGAAATTAAAAATACGATTCAAATCAAATTCAATGGGTCGACAGTGTTCATAAATATTGCAAATCTGTTGATCTATCAAGGAGGTGAGGATAGGAGGGGACTCATAAAATCGTAAACGTTACTTTTTGTTTGAACTATCGTATATCTGTCAACTTTGTGTGCTTGTGGGTGTGCATTGGTTTTTGAAATGAACCTTGTGTGTATATCTCAAATGTTGTTTTGCTATGTTCCACTATTTTCTTTCTTTTGTTGGAATTTTGTTTTCTTGCTTGCATATATAAGTTTCTTATAGTTGTGTTTATTTGTTTTTATTTGTTTAAATACCATCAACCCTCCCGCTTTATAGAACTAGGTGTCTCTGCCAGACCTTTCACTTTGAGTCGATCGGCGGTTTTAAGAAATGCCGGCAGCTGTTCTTGCGACACATTTACTTCGCCGGCATACATAAACTCCAGTATTGCCTGCAGGTGTATGTAGGACACATCTTTAAGTATAATAATGGGATGCTTTGACGGATTTTCCTATAAAAATAATAATCTGATTAGCACAATCGCGTCAAATGTATCTCAATGAGACTTACTTCCAATAGCGCCTTAAAGTAGGGACTGCAAGCTGAAAGCACCATTTTGTGTGCTTTGCAGGTTTGGCCTTCGCAGGCGAGTGTTACCTGTACGGAAATATTAAAGATAATCAGTAAGAGAACACAACAGCAGAAAACGAAAAATGTAATTGGTAAGTGAGAGAAGCCGAACAGATAGCTAGGTAGACAGGTACAAGTATGAATGGAGTTAGAATTCATCCGAAATGATTGAAGCAAAAGTCTGTTAGAATTAAGTTTCAAGTCAATAATGTTTGAGGTCACGATTGTTTGGTATGCTCGTATATTGAAATCTTAATACACTCTGTGTTGTGTGCGTCAAAAGAATCTGAAGAATTCGAAACATAAGCTATACTTACATCTGTGAAGCTCTTCTCATCGCGCAAGTGACGGAACGAGGTCACCATATTCGTTTGAAAATCGTTCCATTTTAGAAAAAACTGTTGGTCCGACGACATCATGTAGAAGCTTTTGTTATTATAGCTGGGAGAGCGTTAAGGGAAAACGCGCGCTCACAGTTCTGTTACAGGCAGGAGAATTGAAAATTTAGACGCGCGGCCAAAAAGACTCCAATAGAATAGCTCTTTACTTCGGTTCACTGTTTTCAAACTATTTCCCTTGAGTTCTGCAAAAGAATGCAATACAATGTTATGGCAAATGATGAAAATGAAAATAAAAACAAA